TTATATGGATAGTCATTTGAAATTATTGGAGTCTTTAATATCTTCCCATCAACAACATAATGAAGGGATGGAGATCATTCACTTTATAAACTTTATATTTATAATTGGGTTTCTTCTCTTGTATATGTATAAGAATTAGTCCTTAAGTGCATGTATTTGACGTGGGTAAAAGTTGTGTTATATACACTTAAGTGATGTTACTAGTTAATTGGCTTCATGATATTTTTTTTGTTTGATTTATTTATTCATGTGATCTCCTAGACACATGAAACAGATTGCAAGTGAGAAGGGAGGGTAGAGGTTAGTTCTCGTATTCTACTTTTGTTTGTTGAATTGTTATCAACAGATCCATTCCTGGTTTGAACTACATCGAATGGATTAGTAGAAACTTCGCAATCTAACTACCGAAGTCAGACACCTAAAAGCTAAAATATTGATTTATTTGACAAATTGCATTTTTTGAAGCCTTTGTACTTTTTATGCCAATTGGATATTGTATTTGAATAATTCTTTTGGAAATAATAATAATTAGTTTTATTTTAAATACCATTTTTATTTAATTTTTTTTATGTATCAATTGTCATGAGATTTTCACTAAGCAGGTATTAAAGTGATGAATTAGTAAAAGTGCTAGTGCGAAAAAAAAGTTGTCGGAATAAACGGGATATAAAAATATAAAAAAATCTAATATCTAAGCTGGGGGTTTGAATCGCCACTAAAGATGGTAGGGATGTTTAAAAAAAGCTAAGGTGGCGGTCTTTTAGGACCTAAGCCGATGGTCAAAACTGTCACCTTATTAACGCTAACCCAGCGGCTCCAATAGACCGCTGCTTTAGAGCAATTTGAACCGCCTTCGGCCAGCTATCAAAGGCGGCGGTCATTTTAACCTAAGCCGATGGTCTTGGTCTAAGGCGGCAGCTTCTTTGGGAGCGGACGCAAGACTGCCACCTTAGACCTAAGCTAGAACAGCCGGCTTTGACCTTTTTTCTTGTAGTGTACACATGCCAATTATTTGGGTGGAAAATTTTTGATGAATAAAGTAAAAACAAAGCAAGCAACTTGGTTTCTACGGAAAAAGGGAGACACCTATTACTCCTCTTGCAATTATGCTATTGAAACACAAACTCATTTATTTTTTGAATGCAGTTTAGCAAGATCGTTGGACTTTCTGGATTAGTGGTCGAAGAAAAAATTTGAAACAAAAGCCGTGAAGGATTACTTCATGGCTAGAACCTTATCCATCCTTTTGCAGCCTATGGAATCACAGGAATGATGTGGCCTTTAGGGGGAAAAGACCAGATCCTCTTGAAGTAACTTTAAGAGCCGATGGATATGTTCCTCGAGCTGGGTCTTCTCAATTAACTGTTTCTTCGATAGAGAGTTCAACTAATTCTCTCTCTGATTATTGGTTCTCCTTCACTTCTCACTCACTAGCTGTAGTTGATGGCTCTTGGAACACTAGCACCTGCACAACTTCTACATGGCTTTATCTTTTATCTTTTATTCCTAATGTTTGCATTGTAGATGTTATGTTAATGTGCTAGAAAGTTAAAATACTTTATGTTTATTTATTTTTGTCTTTTTCTACAGCATGTAAAAGGTAACTTTAGTTGGGTCTTTTTCACCTTTTTGTAAACCTGTGTTAGTTGTAAGTGTGCAGAAGAAGCTTCTATTTGGCTTACTCAATAAACCATCTTCTTGTATAACTCTTGCAAGAAAACCAGAATATGTAAGAAGATAGATTTTAGCCCTTCTCTTGCTCTGTTTTTGCTCTCTGCCTTACTTTAATATGTTGCGTGTAAATCTTCTATTCTAAAATATTTTCTCCACTTTGCATGCACCCATAGTTACCTAAGCTACAACCAACATCTGACAAGTGGTATTAGAGCTGCAAGGTTCATTGGAACAAGTTTGGGTGCAAGAAAATTTGAAGAAAAATTGTCTATGGAGAACAAATCATGGCCAACACTAGTATTGTTAATTTTAGCACAGTCCAAGTTCCTATTTTTGATGGAAAAGACTATGATTTCTGGTATGTTAAAATGAAAACCTTGTTTTTGTCTTTGGATTTATGGGATATTGTTGTCATTGGATATGAAGAACTAGAAAATGTAGAAAATCTCACAACAACTCAACAAAAAGAACTGAAGGACAAGAGAATTAAGGATGTAAGAGCACTTTCAATGATTCAATGAGGAGTTAGTAAATTTATTTGCCCAAGGATAATGAGTATTGAAAAGGCAAAAGAAGCCTGGGATACACTTCAAGAAGAATTTCAATGAGACAAAAAGGTAAGGGCTATTAAATTCCAATCTCTTAAAAGAGATCTTAAAAATATGAAAGTGAAGGAAAATGAAAATTTAATTGATTATTTCAGTAGATTTATGGAGTTGATAAATCAAATGAAAGCACGTGGTGAAAAATTTGATGATAGGAGGATTCTTGAGAAGATATTAATTATCTGAGAAATTTGATTTTATTGTGACTCTCATTGGAGAAACAAATGATCTCATTGAATTAAGTGTTCAAGAATTGTTAGCATCACTAAAATCATATGAGCAAAGATTGGCTCATCACTCTAAAAAATCAATAGAAAGTGCTTTCCAATCAAAGCTCAATGTCAGTTCCAAAAGTCATGGTGGAACATCCTCAACTTATAAACATGGAAAATGAGACTCCTATAGATCGTAGGATGTAGATATGCAAGAGGAAGAGGAAAAGGTAGAAACCCAAGAAGAAGAGAAACCCAAGAGGAAGAGATAGAGGTAATTTTGATAGAAAATCACGATGATGTTCTATTTGCAAAAGAAGCAACCATGTTGACAAAGATTGTTGGTTTAAAAGAAAGCCACAATGCCATTTTTGTAAAATGTTTGGGCATCTACAAAAAGATTGTAGACTAAAAAACAATCAACAAGCAAATTATACAGAAAAAAAGAAGATGAACGAAATTTGTTTTATATATGTCAAAGTGCCATGGAGGAAAATAATGATGTATGGTTCTTGGACAGTGGGTGTAGCAATCATATGATAGGGCACCTAAATATTTTTCTTGACATGGATACATCATTTAGCTCAAAAGTGAAGTTGAAAAATGTAGAAAATTTTGAAGTAAAGGGAAAAAGCACAATAAGTGTTGAAACAAAGAAGGGAGGAAAATTTATGCATGATGTATTATTTGTACGTGAGTTGAATGAAAATCTTCTCAGTATTAGACATCTTTTGGAGCATGGTTATTCACTCCATTTTGAAGATCTTGGTAGTGTCATTTATGACCATGAAAAACATGTGGTGAAAAATGTAAAAATGAAAACAAATAAAAGATTTCCACTAGTATTTAATTATGCAATAAAGGTTGCTATGAATGCCAAGGTGATTGATGAGTCATGGCTATGGCATAGAAGATTTGGTCATTTAAATTTTAAGGGATTGAAGTTGCTATCACAAAAAGAGATGGTTCAAGAGCTTTTAAACATTGAAGAAAAGCATAAAGTTTGTGAAGGTGGTGCATTTGAAAGCATCACTAACAACCATTTCCAAAAGGAGTTGCATGGAGAGCCAACAAAGTGATGGAATTAGTTCATACCAATGTGTGTGGACCCATGAGGACTCTCTCTCATTCCCAAAACATGTATTTCATTCTTTTTATTGATGATTATAATTGTATGACTTGGGTTATTTTATGAGGGAACAATCTGATTTTTTTACTATTTTCAAGAAATTTAAATGTCTTATTGTGAAACAAAGTGATTGTTACATTAAAAAATTGAGAAGTGATCATGGAAAGGAGTACACTTCAAATGAATTTGATAATTTTTGTGAAGATTAAGGCATGGAAAGGCAACTTACAGTCCATTATACTCCTCAACAAAATGGAGTATCAGAGAAGAAGAACTAAACTATGATGGAGGTAGCTATATCCATTCCACATGAGAAGAAACTTCCCAAAAGTTTTTGGGTTGAAGTTGTAAACATAACTGTGTATTTGATGAATTGATGAACTACTGTTGTTATTAAAGGAATGACTCCATTAGAAGCTTTGAGTATAAGGAAACCCTCGATTAGACATTTAAAGTGTTTGGTAGTATATGCTATGCCCAAATTCCAAAGTGGAAGAGATCAAAGCTTGATGAAACAAGAGAGAAGTGTATTTTTGTTGGTTATAGTTCTATGTTAAAGGGTTATAGGCTATACAATTTGAAAACAAATAAGATGGTTATTAGTAAAGATGTGTAGTTTAATGAGAAAGCTGTTTGAAAATGGGACTAAGAAAAAATTGAAGAACATGTTCCCATGTCTAATTTGGAAGAAAATACAAATCAAAATGATAAAGGAACTTTTTAATCATCTCAAAGTTCAAGCTCATCTTCATCTAGCTCAACTCCAAGAAAAATGAGGAGCTTGAGTGATGTTTATGCAATGTGCAATTTTTGTATTGTGGAACCGGAAAGCTTTGATGAAGAAGCTATTAAGGTAGAAACTTAGAAAAAGACAATGGAATAGGTAGTTTCTATCATAGAAAAGAATAAAACTTGGGAGTTGGTTGATAGACCAGATAACAAAGAAGTGAATGGTGTTAAATGGGTTTACAAAGTGAAACATAATTTTAATGGTTCTGTGCAAAGAAATAAAGCAAGGCTAGTTGCTAAGGGCTATGCACAACAATTCGATGTTGGTTACTTTGAAACTTTTGTGCCCATAGCACGGTTGGACACTATTAGAACTCCTATTGCACTTGTAGCTCACAAAGGTTGGTTGTTATGACAACTTGATGTTGAATTAGATTTCTTGATTGGAGAATTAAAAGAAGATGTGTATGTAGAACAACCATAAGACTTTGTGATTCAGGGCAAGGAAGACAATGTGTACAAGTTGAAGAATACCCTAAATGGGTTAAAACAAGCATCAAGAGCATGGTATAGCCAAATTGATTTCTACTTGGTTGAAAAGGATATATGAAAAATAAGAGTGAGCCTATTTTGTATGTGAAGAAATAAGGTATGGATGATATTCCCATTGTTGCTCTTTATGTTAATGACTTAGTTTTTATTGGAAACAATATGAAAATGATTGAAGATTTCAAAAATGAAATGGTGAAAAAGTATGAAATGAGTGATATGGTACTGTTATATCACTTTCTTGGTATTGAAATTTATCAAGGTGATGATGGCGCATTCATTTGTCAAAGTAAGTATGCTGAAAAATTTCTCAAAAAATTCAAAATGTTTTGATGCAAACCTGTAGCTACTCCACTGGTTGTCAATGAGAAATTGATGAAGGAAGATGATGGTAAGAAGGTGGATGAAACTTTGTATAGAAACTTGGCTGAAAACTTATTTTATCTCACTACTACAAGGTCTGACATTATGTTTGTTGTAGTTTTGCTGTCTAGAGTTATGAATAGTCCCAGTCACATTCATTTTGGAGCTGCAAAAAGAATGCTAAGGTATGTAAAAGGCACCATGGATTATGGAATTAAATATGATAAAGGAAATAGTGTGAAATTAGTTGGTTTTTGTGACAATGTTTGGGGAGGATGTGCTGATGACATGAAGAGCACCTCTAGTTATTGTTTTTCCATTGGTGGTGGTGTGTTTTCTTGGTGCTCAAAGAAACAAAAATTAGTGGCTCAATCTTCAGTAGAACTCTGTTTCAGCTTCAATGGCAACATCTCAAATAATTTGGCTTAAAAGAATTATTGAAGATATTAATGAGAAGCAAGAGGATGCTACAGTGATCCATTGCAACAACAAATCTGTCATTGCTATGTCAAAGAATCCGTATTTTCATAGCAGAACCAAGCACATTACTCTCAAACATCACTTCATTTGAGATGCCATTGAAGATAGAGAAATTGAACTAGTGTATTACAGGACCCAAGATCAATTAGCTGATATTTTCACCAAGCCATAGGCAAGAGAAAAGTTTGAAGAATTAAGAGAAGCATTAAGAGTCCAACAACAACACATTAAGGGGGAGAATGTTATGGTTAATTTGCTAGAAAATTAAAATACTTTATGTTTATTTTTTGTATTTTTCTATATCATGTAAAAGGTAACTTTAGTTGGGTCTTTTTTCACCTTTTTGTAAACCTGGGTTAGTTGTAAAAGTGTATAGAAGAAGCTTCTATTTGCCTTGTTCAAGAAGCCATTTTCTTGTATTATTCTTGCAAGAAAACCAAAATATGTAAGGAGAGAGATTTTAGCCCTTCTCTTGCTTTGTTTTTGCTCTTTGCCTTACTTTAATCTACTGCATATAAATTTGATGAAGTGTTTTTTGGGCAGCACCCTGTTGTTCTGACTACTTCCTAGTGTCTGATGACTCAGAGGTCAAGCTGGAGTATTTCTACTGGATAAAGGTTTGGATGCCAAACTGACTAGATTGAATTAGGAGGCTACTCGGGTGCCAAGCTGGGTAGCTCTTCGAAGAGACCTGCAAGGAAACAGTGTTAGAGGACTCGGGGTGGCTAACCCGACGAGGTCACTCTAATGCTTAAGTTATTACTCTTGTAGTAGATTGCGAGCTAAAAATCAGAAAGCAAGGGAAATAGAATGTACTTAATTGTGTGTCTTCTGTATCATTGGGGTTGGTGCATTTGTGTAGGCATTATTTGGTGTGGGCCTCATGCACCACATCTGAGATTTCTAGGAGGTCATGCCTTACCGGCCCGAAATCTTCGGAGGTAACTACTATGCATCTTGACCTTCCTCCGGAACATTTGGTAGGTGGGCCAACTTTCGAGAAACGTGGGAGTGTCGGGATATGCATGTTGAATTTGTCAACGAGCACGTCTTGCAGGTCGCCACTGGGACCTCAGTTAGGCCGGTATGCCCTCGAGGGAGGTTGCTCCTCACATCGAGGTCACTTCAACCAGTGACGAGGTGATTCAGGCCGACTTGAGTTGTGGTCGAGGTCACCAGGTTGGCGATGAAGGCAGGTTGCCAGGTTGGAGTGAAGAGAAACCGCTATCTGGGACTCCAAGTCATCGCTTAGGTGGTATCCATGTGTCATCCAGCTGTTCCAAGATGCCATGTGTCACAATGTCATTGCAGAGCCAAATCCGCCTTCATCAATTGCCCCCACTCGAGCTGAAAGTAGCTTGGTGAAAGGAGTATATCGCTCCTTTTGGCTCGGTATGACTGATTCGATAAGCTCGTAGTTGTAAGCGTCAGTCCAATTTGCTTCTTAGGTCGGAAGAGTCCAAGTGTTTGCAGCCTTACGTAGGGCCTCACCGTATTGATTTTTGGGGCACAGAGCGAATTCATCTACTTGAGGAGAACTGGAGCAAGTACCCCGATGACATCTACCTTATTAGTGTTAGACAGTGTATGCCCTTAGATCCAATTAGCTTGATGTACATTATGACATCTATTGTAAATGAATGAAGTACATATTTGATTCATGTTATTGTGGTGTGTTTTTGTCTAATACCCTTAAACTGGACACATATGAAACTCGTGTTAGTTTAAAATCTTTACAGCCGTTGGATAGGTCTGGGGAGATTTATCTTGTCAAGGCTGATACTGATGTGCCACCACGTTGGTTGGGGTGGCTTGTCTCAGCTGCTAGGGTGAGACCTGAGGTACATGTAGTGTGGGTTTTCTTGAAACCCTGAATCAGACCAAATTCCAGTGATTGCCTTTGACCTTGGAGATAGATGAGCAAAACTGGAATGTTACACCTGACCCTTAGACTCGATTATGGTACTGCACTAGGTGTCAGATTGGGCTGTCTTTGATATGCTAATCAGTGAAATCCTTAGAGGGGGCCAAAGCCTGTGTATGTTGGGACAATCTGAGAATTCGTCTGAGTGGGTTATCATAGTGACGAGATCAGCCCCTTTGTCAGACAAAGTGAATGATCGAAGAAATGCACTCTCTCTGATGGAAACCTAAACTACCGACAACGAATTTCAAATGTGTTTGAAATTTGGTTTTGCAAAATATATTTATATAGAGATATACTTATATATTATGGTTTCACAATTTTTTTGCAAAAGGTTTTAATTCCCGGGATCCATGTGAGTAGAGAGTGCAGCACTGTACCTTGCAGCC